TTACTACTAGTAACAAGAAGCTGCTAGGAACAAGGGCATTGCTACTAAGAGCTTCTAGGATGCAGAAAGCTAAGTCAGAGTCAGAACTGTGTTCTTTGCAAGTCTTTATTTGTGGATTTCAAGGACGTTCTCACTGACGGTAGAATTCATTTACGAGCCCTCAAAGCATGTTGAGTTGTTGCACCCTATTGGCCCTATTGCACTCCGGTGGAAGTATACATGCAAAGTGCAAGGGCAGCAGATGCAAAGCTTTGTACCCTAGTAGATGGCCTCCACTCTAGTAGCGATGGTGTTGTAAGCTTGCTTTGTTTTTCTTGAAGACATCATATCCGCCCATCGAAGTCTTTCTATCCCCAACGAGGCTGTGGGCTTGTAGCAGTGGAGTGTTTTGCCGCAGTGCTCTTTGTCAGCGACTTCATCCAGGACTGTGTTGAACCTCAGGCACCCCACCAAACTCTCTCAAGTACGTTCTGGCAAAGCTTGATGGTGAGGGGTGTATACTTCTCAACGTGCTTTATACTGTTCTACTCTGGATGCTTTGTCATGAAGACTTCCGAGAGTCTCAGATCTGGCTAGACAGGAGCAGGTGGAGTCTATCCAGATGAACAGCACACTAGTGGAGACGTGCGCATATGATTGTCAAGAGGACAGATCGCTTCGTTTCTTGACAGCGACTGCTTGAGATATACAAGACTTGTGGTGACGTGTGCATCCATCTATTCGGTTGAAGAAATAGATTTTCCCCGCTGATTTCTGCGCCTGAGAAGTTCAGGTAGTCCACATTACCCCTCCAAACCCTTGAAACAAGTCCGATTTCTCCAAAAATCTAGGATCCAAATCCTTAGGCCTGAGCCCTTCTGAGTCCAAGATACTAGTAGCTACTCAAGCTTAGTATTTGCATCTTTTCTTGGCTTGCTGGTGGAGGCACCTACGGCCCACTTGGGGCCACAAAATAGAAAAGAGTGCTGTTCTTTCTTGTTCCTTGGTCGCTTTCGGACATCGACCCAGTGCTCCCGCCATGCAAGGTACCAACGCACGCACGGGCCGCGGACGTCATTCTGGGAGCACTTCACGTCGATCTTCGGCCCCTGCTGGTGCACCGAATGCACTTCTTGAGAATGTTCCGTTCGTAGCTACTAGTAACAGGTGCATCGCTAGTAGTAACAAGTGCCTTACTAGTAGTAATAAGAAGCTACTAGAATTAAACTATAATTAGTAAGGCACTTGTTACTAGAAGCGATGCACTTGTTCCTAGTAGATTAAACATCGAATTTTATGATTCCAGCAAGCTCCATTGGCCAATTCTCGGACCTCACACAGCTTTGAAACAGCTTCTTCCGAAGGCATCTCGACTGAAACATGCTGCAGGTGGACCTGGCCTTTCCCTTTTCCGCCGGCCCTGGAGACCGGACCACAGGGGCAGATGGGGTCGCAAACGCTGGGCTCCTCCATGTGTTTTTGCACTACAAACACTACGACACTAGTAGCGTCCTTGCTCCTAGTAGCGATGCCAGGAGCCCCTAGTAGCGATGCCCTTGCTCCTGGTAGCGTCCTCTTCACACCATCAGTCTTTGACTGCGAATGTAGCGCGGGAAGTTGGCCTGAGAATTTTGGGATACAAGACGAACAACCTAGGTAGCCTATGTGATCTAACTACCTATGCCGCTATGCCTGGCATTTGCAATGAACCGTGAGGTTTCTTGATTTTCCGTGCACCGTGTGGGGTTCTTACTTTTTCTCGGGTCTTCCGGCCCTCCTCCCGATCACACCTCCAGACGCGTTTGATTGCACCAGGCCCTGAAGAGGCCTCCAGGAAAAAAGGGCCCAAGGAAACAGGTAGTTCAGGTGGTTAAACCTTAGCAGGTACATCAGCAAGCGTCCTTGGTCCTTCTCTTCAGGTGTAGGGCATCCATCTACTTTCATCGTCTTGAAGAGTTCACATCAAAGCCGAAGAAATTCTGTTTGCAAAGGTGAGAGACTGAGGCACCGTCAAGATATGCAATGAAAGCCAAAAGGCTCCCTCTGAATCCAAGGAGGGCTCCACACATATATATATATATATATAAATGTATTGTAATATATATATATACATATAAACACCTCTGCCCACTGCACACACACACACAAACACTTGCATTTCTCTCTCTCTCTCTCTCTATGCGCCATCTCTTCTGTCATCCTCTCCCATGCCTTTGTCCACAAACCTTATTTTCTTGATATTCACTTTCTGAAAGCTTGTTATTTGGGGTTATCCGGTTCTTTCATTTTGCGTTTTTTGGCGGCCAAAAACCGTTTGTTCTGTGGTGCTTTCTGCGTTTCCACTCCCAACGTGCGTTCCGGAACTTGGTCTCCGCTTGTTCGGACGGAGACGTCAAGTCATAGCGATGCACTTGTATTTTTTCGCCCCGGGGAGGGGGTGGGGTAGACCGTAGAGGTAGCTAGAGGTAGCTTGTAGCTACATAGCTAGTAGTTTAAGTAGCTACCGACGGAACGCAGGATAGCTTGCGCTTCTTCAAGGAAGCTCGCCCTGCCGCCCTAAAGGCGGCGGGGCAAGCTTCCTTGAAGAAGGACTCGCACTAAACTTAAGGTAGTAGCTTCTTGTTCCTAGTACTAATGGCCTCCAACCTAATGGCGATGGCCTCCAACCTAAGAGCAATGGCCTCCAACCTAAGAGCAATGGCCTCCAAGCTTCTTGCTCCCAGTAGCCATGCATTTCTAATTGAGCATATTGCGATCACATTTTTTGGGACAAAACGATGACGGTATTGTGAAGCATTGCAAAACCAGGGGCCCGTTTCCGGTCCGTAGGCTGAAACACGGAAACCATGCTGAAACAGCAGAAACGGCCTGATGTGTTTTTCCTTTTTTTTTCCGGGAAGCGTAACACAATGATTCCAGGCGTGAGGGGCCCACCATTAGTTCTAATTCTAATTCTTGTTACTAGTAGCTTCTTGCTCCTAAGGGGCCTAGTAGTATGGCCAGAAGCCCCTAGTAACGTCCTTGCTCCTTGTAGCGATGCCAGGAGCCCCTAGTAGCGTCTTTGCTGAACTTCATGCTGCTCTTGAGGCCTGACTACCTGGAGCCGGCCCTACCTGATGAGGCGGAGCTCTGGAGTCAGGAGCTTGCTTCAGTCTAGTGAAAAGGAGAGAGAAGAGAACGAGGAAAAAGAAGAGCAAGAGGAAAAGAAAGGAAAAGTCTGAAAGAACAGAAGACAAAAGGAGATGAAAATCGAAGAGTAAAGAACAGTAAAGAACAAGAGAAAACAACAAATCATCCCTTGGCAGCTTTTTGGTTGGGCGTTGTCGTTTGTGCTCTCCAGGACTGCGCAGATGATCACAACAGTCTGGGCATTGCAGGTGAAGAGAGCGAAGAGATGGCAGCAAAGGAGGTCTGCGTGGGAAATTTCGAGCAGAGACGAGTGGCTTGGTCAGTCACCCATGCATGTGGCTCCGGTTTACCTGGTTGGCAGGATTGGCACTTACTAACATTGAGGAATCTTGATCTCTTTTGCAATGCTCAATGAACTGTTTCTGTGATTGGTCCGTGCCACAGTTTCGCATCATGTAGAGGATAAAGGCATACGCATCTTCCAAACTTGTGCAGGAGACCCTTAGTGCGCGACCGAGGCACATTCTGCGGATTGGGCGCAAGGAAATAGATTGTTCTCCAAAAAACTTGAGCCTATCTGTAGCCTGAAGTAGCCTTACACGAAGATCCTCTATTTTGCACATCTAACTTTCTTCATTCGGCGCTATATTTCTACAGTTTGTGTCGCAAGGCAAAGGCACACGGACAGCAAGCTTGACTGAGCTTGGATCAACAGCATCCGCCGCATCCAATTGTCAGAGCTTCATGTCTTGCCCCCGAAGGCAGATTCCAGTGTTCATCACACGAAAAGGACGAAAAGGTTCGAAATCCGATGAACAAAAGCAGGAGCTCTTGGTTTGTGCCCTTACCGGCACTTGAGAAACGGATGTGCCACGGCTGCCAAAATTGGTGAACGACCTGAAGTCAGATCTTGATTGCTGCTGGTTGACTTGCTTCTTCGGGGATCGCTCCGAATGCTTGTGTGTGGGCTGAGAGTCAAGATGCATGTGATCTTGCAAACACCAAAGAAACTTTGACACATCAAAAGGATCATGCACGAACATATGTCACTGCTCTTGAGCCTCTTTTGGACATAGGAAAAACTTGTCTGTGTACTTCGCTGCAGATCCCAAGTACCCTTGAAAGGACCACCCACGAAGGGACAATGGTCGCAGGCTCACATGGCTTTGCTGTGCTGCTTTGCATGTGAGCTCTTGAGAGGAGAAGCCACGGAGGGATCAGAGCTCGAAAGTCCTTCTGGTCAAGTCCAGAGTTGGAAGTGAGTGATGAATTCCAAACCGACCAAAGTCAGGGGCAAGCGTGTGGTCATACTACGAGGGAAAGCTGCTGGCTTGCTGAGGGAACAGTCAAGTATTGACCCGGATCGGCAAAGCCGAAGGTCAAGGGCACTACTGGAGGGTATGATGCCAAGATTGGCATCTCATCCAAGAAGGTCCACTGCCTGATGGGCATGAGGGGTCTTTGGATGATCATGATGATCGGAGTCCAAAAGATTGCTCGTCGGACTCAGCTGGGAAAGAACGGAAGGCATTTTTTGGAGGTTGTTTTGAGCCACACCTGAACCCGGACTCAGCGGCCTCGCCTCCAAACCTGTCAGCCTCTGACTCAGATTCGTACTCTCGCGACCCATGGGCCTTAACTGCTGCGCAATGATTTGAAGACGCTGGTGCCACTGAGGCCCGAAAGACCTGATTGAACCACTGGTGCTGGAAGTTTTGTACCGGCTTCGAAACGAATCGAGTTGAATCGAATCGATCGGATATTCAAGTTGTCACGAGAAGAGAGTTGATTCGGGATTGAACTTCCCATACGCATGCACAGGGCATCCTTCTGAAGAATTTCATGATGGCAACCAGGGACTTGAGGGACCAAGGTGGAGCCCAGGTGCGGTTGAACGATGGATACTTTGGCATGTTCAATCATCCGAGACTGTGATTTGGAGTGTGCTTTGGAAGGTCACTGGCAGACGTGCGTGCTTGGAGAACATCACCAGCTTATCACAACGCCGTCCCGCCTAAATGAATTTGAGGGGCAAGTTCAAGATGAAACCAAAAGCTTGCCAATGACCCTAGAGAAAACACACAACAAAGCGGTCCAAAGCAAAGGTGGTCCAGTGCCACCTGCAAAGCTGTCAGAGGAGCGTCAGGCTGCCGGAAGGAGAGTTTGACGTCAGATCGAAGGTGTTGGAGAACTCCAATGCCTTGTGATGGAATGCCAACCTGGCCAGCGAGGACCAGAAGCTTGTGGACCGGCTGGTGGCGATGGGGCGTTGGCGGGGGAAGAGTTTTGGAGTTCGGATTGACAACTTGGTGCTGGAAAAAGTTTGTATTGGAGAAGGAAGTGCAACCACTTCGGCAGCTTGTGCTCATTCCAGCCGATGTATCCAAGTGATGGTCAAATGGTCAATCCTGGAATCGTGGAGGTGGTCAAGGACGCCAAAAATTTGGTCGAGGCTTGAGTAGGGTGAGGTTTTCACCCCACTACAGTCAGTCATCCATCCGCAAGGTCATGAACGGTCCGCTGGTTCAGTTGGTTCAGTGGGGCAGTCTGGAAATCGAACCACGAGTTGCAACCGTCAGATCTTTTTTCAAGATCCCAAAAGCGTGTTGGCCAAGAAGTCTGTTGGAAAGGACAGAACCCTGGTCACACCTGGCTACACAGAGACAGGACACAACAGCCAGTGATGCAATGTGCGCCTGGGAGCTGACGTTGGACGAGGGCAACAGCTTGCCAGGCAAAGAATTGAAGTGGGGCAGTGGGGGGATGAGAAATTGTTGAAGGTCAGTCACGAGCAGTGCTGGGCAGCTGCGTCCTTCGAATGGAAGAGCGCAAAATCTGAATCAGGTCAGGATTTGGGAGTTTCTACAAGCCACAAAGGTGAGCTATCGACAAGGTGGTGTACAAGAGCGTGCCAATGCCGCTTTCGGGGAAAGTGATGCCGCAACATCGACTTTGTTATTCAGTGCCAAGGGGACGTCAGATTGCGGACGATGTTGCGCTGCCTTGCGCAAGGCCAGCTAGATTCCACATTTAACTTGCACTTCTCTTTTGGTTCCCTGGCGTTGGAACAGCAGAAACTCGCTTCTTGCGCCCTGAGATTTTGTCGCAATGGCAACGGTGGAGTGGCAAAGGGGGAGTGCAGGAAGACACGTGTACATCACTCATTGAATCAAATAGTGTCATCAAAGGCTTCCAGTCAAGTCATGCGTCGGAAAAAACATGTTAGCGCACTTTCCTGCACCTTTCAGCGCGCATGTTAAACGTTTGTCAGCACAAAGTGCATCACTGTGGCCCTCTTGGCTTAAAGGTTAACAGCTTCAAGCCCATGTCATGTTGAGAACATGCTGCGAGCAAACATTTGCAAGGCTTCACATTTGCCAGTTGTTGTCATTGCACTTGAGAGACTTGTAAACACTGCTTGGCCCTCTCTCTCAGATACAGCTGGATTTGAAGGACAGGTGCATGTCATTTTTTCCTTTGACTCAACAAGGTGGCAAAAACGATGCCATTGTAACTTGATGGAACGAACTCAGCCTGGTCATTGGGGATGAAGCGGCCAGCGTGGGTGCCCAGCTACGGCACCGCCAAAAGTTGACGCTCCAAATGCCAATTTATGGCGCAACGGTTCCTCTTTCGGCGACCGATGACTCGGCAAACGTTTGGAACATTCTGGACGAGACAAATTCGTTTGGTATTGACGATTGAGTTGGGAGCTCTTTGGGTTGCCCAGGCTGAAGACTCCGAGGCTTCAAGAACGAGTGAGTTACCAGTTGCCAGTTACACTCTTTGTTGAATCGATTGACCTAGAGTAAACGAGTGTCCTTGGGTTTGTGTGGCAGCAAATGAATGAGAGGACAAACACAGACATGTTGAAAACGGAACCAAAATCAACTCATTACCGCGGAGCGTTGGGAGTTCTGTTCGCCCTGTTTGTTTTGGCCAGGCAGCAAACCGGAAGGCCTTTGCCCAAGAGATTGTGGTTTCCAAATGTTTCAATCAAGTTTTAACAGGTTAAAGAGGAGATGAACAGGATGTTAATATAGTAGTCAATGACATGCAGTTAGCAGACCATAGTCTAGATCCAACTTTGAGCAGACTTTTGTTTCAACTGTTCACCCATTGTGATGCCTTTTGTGGAGCATGGTCCATGGCTATTACTTTCTCAGGCCAGCCCGCGAGGTCCAGGTACGCGGTGGTACACGCTCTCGCGAATTTGCAAAGAAGAACGACAACTATTTCGGTCTTGATTAAGGGAGGGCGTAAATGTATCAGTGCTCACAGGTGGCATACAAATGATACAAATGTATTTCCGTTTCAATCAGAATACAGAACCGGTTGTTGGGGTGGGAACACGAACATCATTCTTTCAAGGCATGTGCTAAGAATTGCACAAAGAACTCAATTTTCGAGTGTTCAAGAGGCTGATCCTGACAGATGTGTTCCTTTTTCTTGTTTTCCTTAGATCAGAACAAACAGTGTTTTTATAAGATATATCAAGAATCTCAAATGACACCAGGCACTTCGCCGAGGGCACCGGCCTTCAAGTTTCTTGGCAAAGAATGGTTTTTCTGCCTCCCTGTGGAGCGAATTGAACTCTGCTCAATGTAACCCAAGAAAGTGTGGCAGCGAAAGCAAAAAAATACTCTTTGGGATGTCATAAACAATTCCACACTGTCTGCCCAGGGCGATTCCTCTTCCAGGCCTACACAGGGACTTGACGGTTTGAAAAGCTATCTCGTTTTTCCTTGTGATTTGAGAAACGCCAACCAAGCACACAGCACAAACTTCTGGCTTAAAACATATTTCAACCTTTGAAAAGATGTCTCATTTTTTTTCCCTTGTGCTACGCGAAAAGTAAGAAGAGACGAAACCAGTTGTTTCCACACCAAAACCAGTTGTTTCCGTGCGCTTTCGCTCTTGGCTCGTTCTAGGCCTCTTGGGTCCTCTTGGAGCTCTGGGAATTCGAGCTGCCTTTCCGAGTGGCTCGCTTGGAGGGCTGCGGCCTGAGTGCTGATTGAGAGCGCTCTTCAGGGTTGGACCGCCCATCTTCTTTGAGTCACAGATTTTTGCTACTAGGAACAAGTGCATCGCTTCTAGTAACAAGTGCCTTGCTAGTAGTAACAAGAAGCTACTAGGAAGAAGTGCCTTACTAGTAGTAACAAATTAGAATTAAGTCAAATTAAATTAGAATTAAATTATAATTAAGTTAAATTAGAATTAAATACAATTTCAATCAAATTAAATTGAATTAGATTAAATTAGAATTAGATTAAATTAGAATTAAATTAAAGTAGAATTAAATGAAATTAAGTTAAAATAGAATTAGATTAAATTAGAATTAAGTAAATTAGTTGAATTACATTAGACTTAAATTAAATTAGCAGTAAATTAAGTAATTTCAATTAAGTTAAGTTTAAATTTTAATTTAACTAAATTAGATTAAATTAGAATTAAATTTAATTAGAATTAAGTTAAATTAGAATCACAGATTTTTGCTACTAGGAACAATTGCATCGCTTCTAGTAACAAGTGCCTTACTAGTAGTAACAAGAAGCTGCTAGAAACAAGAAGCTACTAGGAACAAGTGCATCGCTTCTAGGATGCCAGTTCCCGTGGCTTTGCCTGTTGGTTCCAATACTGCGACGCGATCTCTTTCAATTGCTCAGGCTCCTTCTACCCGATGCTCACCCCTTAGCAAAGGAAGTGCAAGACATTTGCAACGCCACAGCGCGTGGTTTTCGAAAGAAGGCCTTCGCTACTAGGGTGGAGGCCATCGCTACTAGGTTGGACTAGGTTGTTGGCCATCGCTACTAGGGTGGAGGCCATCGCTAGTAGGTTGGAGGCCATCGCTAGTAGGTTGGAGGCCATCACTTTTAGGTGGAGGCAGTAGGTTGGGGGCCATCGCTACTAGGTTGTTGGCCATCGCTACTAGGGTGGAGGCCATCGCTAGTAGGTTGGAGGCCATCGCTAGTAGGTTGGAGGCCATCGCTTTTTGGTGGAGGCAGTAGGTTGGGGGCCATCGCTACTAGGTTGGAGGGCATCGCTAGTAGGGTGGAGGCCATGGCTAGAGGTTGGAGGCCATTGGTAGTAGGTTGGAACTTGGCGTCACCAAGGTCTCCAGCTTTAGAGACAAGGCCGAGCACGGCCGCGTTTGTGTGTCATGCCGCTACGATGCTGCGTTTGCTTTGAGCCAGCCTTTTTGGCACACTTTGAATAGGAAGACGCCATGAGGTATTGCAGAAAATATTAATCACCAATCTTTCTACTAGGAGCAAGACGCTGCTTCACAGGGGCGCGTTCTGCGGGGAATTTCCTCAAGGTTAGGAGCCCCTAGTAGCATCCTTGCTCCTAGTAGTACGGCCAGCCCCTAGTAGCTTTTGCTCCCAGTAGGGATGCCCTTTGCTGCTAGTAGCGTCCTTTGTTTTGTAAAGAACTGCTGCTGACTCCATTTTCCTTTGTCATTGTCATGAAGTTCATCATTGTCAGCATCATAAAGTCACCGTCGTCAACATCAACATCAACATCAGCATCAGCATCAACATCAACATAAACATCGTATCATTTACAAAGTACAGGTGTAAACAGATGGCAAGAAGATAGGTACAGGTGTGCAACATCCACATCAAACACCTGCCATCACACCTTGAACCATACTGCGTCACATGATGATACCAACCCTTATCTATTTGAACGCAGAAGCTCCTAATAGCGATGGCCTCCAACCTAGTAGCGCATCTATTTCAACGGCAAATTTCTTTTCAATATGGTTTTGCCTGACGCCCTCGTCATACATCATGTCTTGAAGAAGAACATCATGCCAATACGCAGACATTGGATGTGTGTTTCTGACAAGTGGTTGTGTGGAGTGTTGTTCTGGCGAGTAGAAAGTGTGGCTGGATGTTTGTGGCAAGCGGAGAGGGTTTGTAATAGCACACTGGCGGAGTTGTTTTGTATAAAAACAATTGTAACAAGTTCTAATGTGGATTTATGTATGGGTTCAGAGCACCAGAAAATGACCTGAGAGATGCAGTGTGATCTGTTCTTAGGTATTTGGTTTCAGCATGTTTCAGCTGTTTGTGTTAGAAAAACGACTCAGTCGAACTGCAACCCAGTGCTCTGAGTGGCGAAGTTCAACCCAGTCTTGTTGGCAAATCACTTAAGCCACTAACAACAACTTAGGTTTTGTTCCAGTGATAATTTGTAAATGAGCAACAACAAGGGCATCGCTACTAGTAGCTAGAAGCTACTAGGTTGGAGGCCATCGCTAGTAGGTTGGAGGTCATTACTAGTAGCAGCTAGAAGCTACTAGTAACAACTTAAAATTGAAGGGTCTCTCATCCTGTGATCCCCGCCCCTTTTGAGGTGTCCGCACCTCCGTGGAAGGCGACGAGACATTGCTGGAGTTTCTAAATTGCATAACGAACTCCCAAATTCACCAGGAGCCCCTAGTAGCTTTTTGTTACTACTAGCAAGAATGCTCCTAGCAGTACGGCCAGGAGCCCCTAGTAGCGTCCTTGCTCCTAGTAGCGATGCCAGGAGCCCCTAGTAGTTTCTTGCTCCTGGGAAAAGAGTCGTTGAGACAAAAATTGAGGGGCTGCATGGCTTTTCCTTCTCTACTGAAGATTTGTAGCTGCTTTCTGACGTCCCTTTGCGCCAAGAACAAAGACACGAAGAGGCCAATCTCTGCTTGCAGGTGTCACGGACAGAAGGTCCTCCCAGCCCCGACCCAGACCAGGCACTGAACCGTTGAAACTCTGTGACTTGGAAAGCCACATGCATTGTTCGTCTCACATGATGGTGCTTCTATAAAAGCCTAGCTAAGCCTTGTGGTTGTTCATTTCTTGTTGAAACATATGTCGGATCCTTAGTCGATCGAGGCTGTTGCCGAGTCGAAGGCTGAGTCGAAGGCTGAGCCCAAGAAGGCAGCCGAAGCGCGTCAGATAGGGGTAGCTCGGCAGTCAGCTGTGCGGGGTTGTAGGGTGCCACACTAAAATAGACCTGGTTCTCAGATAGATGGAACACAGGCCTTCGCTGCGATCTCTTTCGTTGCAGGTTGAGGCTCCCAAATCGGTGCCCGTGCCAGTGGGATTGCGGCCAATGCAGGAGCAGCCAACGCGTGTCGCATCGTTGCGACGTGTCCAGGTGTCCGAAACGTC